TGACTATGGATTTTGTTGTTGGTCTACCTCGTACTCCTCGAGGTATGGATTCTATTTGGGTTGTAGTTGATAGACTGACTAAATCTGCACATTTTCTACCTATTAAAAGTACATCTAATGCTTATAGACTGGCTATAATATATGTTGATGAGATCGTCCGTTTACACGGAGTTCCGATATCTATTATGTCGAATAGAGATCCGAAATTTGTATCTAGATTGAGAAAGAGTTTGTAGGAAGTTATGGGGACAGAATTGAGATTTAGTACAACATTCCATCCACAAACAGATGTGCAATCGGAACGGACCATACAGACATTAGAAAATATGCTGAGAATGTGTGCCTTAGATTTGCAGGGGAGTTGGGAAGACTATTTGCCACTAGCAGAGTTTGCATACAATAACAGCTTCCACTCCAGCATCGGCATGGCACCATACGAGGCTTTGTATGGTAGAAGGTGTAGATCACCAATTTGTTGGACAGAAGTCGGGGATAGAGCTTTGCTTGGGCCTAAAATTGTGCAAGACACTTCTGAGAAGATCAAAATTATTCAACAAAGGCTCAAAACAGCTCAGGACCGACAAAAGAATTATGCTGATGTTCAAAGAAGACCTCTCGAGTATGAGGTAGGTGACCATGTGTTTATTCGTGTGACTCCGATGAAAGGCCAAGTCAGGTTTGGAAAGAAGGGCAAGTTGTCGCCCCGTTACATTGGGCCGTTTCAAATTCTAGAAAGGTTTGGTCCAGTTGCTTATAGAGTTGTTTTGCCACCGGGAATCGAACAAATCCATGATGTGTTTCATGTATCAATGTTGAGGGGTTATCTTCGAGATCCGTTCCATGTGATTGATTATCACTGGGTAGCTCTTGATGAAAACATGGAGTACGCCGAGTGGCCAGAACGAATCATTGACTGGCAAGTGAAACAATTAAGAAGCAAGTCCATCCCAATGGTGAAAGTGGAGTGGAAAGAACACTATGGGACGGATGCCACATGGGAAAAAGAGGATGAAATGCGACTGTGCTGTCCACATTTGTTTTCCGACGAAGGTAAGATAAGTTTGGAGGACCAAACTTCCTAAAGGGGGGAAAACTGTGATAACCTGGTCGGTATTATGCTAATTAATCTTAATTATGATTGTGCCTATGTGTTTGATATGATTTTGAGTGCCATTTACATGAATATATGTGGTTTTGAATTTCTATCTGTTCACTGTAGGAAAATCTGTTCGACTTTCTGCTTTGAAGCTTAAATTAAAGGCCTTATCAGCTACGGAAACCGAAATTGACTATGCTATTGTGATTGACGTAATTTTCAGAGCCTACGGTGAAATTTAATTGAAAATTGATTCGGATTAAATTAAATAGATTAAATTAATGAAATGGTGCTCAATTGTTTAATATTAAAGAAATGTGTTTGAGAAGGAGCTTTTAAAGGGGCAATTCACACCCTCATTTACTTTACTTGAGCTCAAAATCAGATTTTATACCTTAGAGAGAGAGAGGGTCGACTAAAGAGAGAGAGGGTGAAGGAAATGGAAGATTTGAGCAAGAAACTTGAGTAATTTGAAGACCAACTCAAGATTTGACCATAAATTGGGAAGATTGAGCTTTTAGGTGAGTAATTGGTTATGAATTCATGAGTTTAATATTGTCATTTTGTGAACTTAAAGTTGAATGGTGATCAAGAATAAGAATTGTGTTGTATTTGATGAGTTTGAAGTCATGGAATGCATGCATGTGTATAATTGCCATGAATTTGTATAGTTGAACATGAAAAGTATGATCCATGTAGAATTTTGGTTAAAGCTCATGCTTGTGATCACCATTTGCACCATTTAAGTTGAAGATGGAAGTTATATCTCACATGCATGTACAAGTCATAAGAGTATGAGTTTGAATGCATGAATTTGTTATATGGAAAAGAGTTTGGTGTAATTTGAAGCATGCATGTATTTGATTCATGGGATTTGAGCTTCTTAATGTTGTAATCTGGTGTTTGTGCCAAAATATGTATATAAGAAATATGGGCTGTAAAATGCAAGAAATATAAACTTGAATGCATGATTAAAGCTCAAGAACAATTCTAGATTTTCCAGATTTTGGCATGTCCGCTCGAGCGGGGAAACTGCCGCTCGAGCGGGAAATACGAGCTCCCAAAAGTTTTGCAGACATGGGTGTCCGCTCGAGCGGGGAGCCATGCAGTGAGACCTTTAGCTCGAGCGCCCGACTTTACGCTCGAGTGTAAAAACGAGGCAACCAGTACTTTTGCAGACCTAATGGGTCCGCTCAAGCAGGCAAGTCCACGCTCGAGCGGGGACCCTTGTTTCTGAAATTTTGAAAATGTGTTCTGTGTTTCATTTTTCGTTCTCTTTCATTTCTAAGCACTCTTAGGCATGCATTGAGCATTATGAATGAATTAAAAGGATAAGAAAGAAGCCTAAGAGGAATGTATGAATTAAGAATGGATTGAATTGTTTGTGACCCATATGTGTTATTTAATGTGTAGGGTCGAGCTCAAGGGTGAATCCACCAGCAGAACACTGTGAGTAATGTTTTAACAAAGATATCTGAAGTATGTTATTTGTCCAATTGCTTACTTCTATGCAAGTCTTATAAGTTCATTAATCTGAATGGTGGACAAATGTTTGCTAGGCCAAAAGGTTGGGCCAAAGGCCAGTCTGACACGAATGAAAGGTTGGGCCAAAGGCCAGTCTGACATGAATGAATAGTTAGGCCAAAAGCCAGTCTGACATGAATGAAAGGTTGGGCCAAAGGCCAGTCTAACATGAATGAAAGGTTGGGCCAAAGGCCAGTTTGACATGAATGGATTGGGCCCGAGGCCGTCTGATGTGCTTGGAACCGTAGTTACTCGACCTATATATGTATACTAAATAGAAATATGAATTGGACGCAAGGCCGTCTGGTGCATGTCGTTCTAAATACTATTCGTGTACCTTCTTTATTTTATATTATTCGCTGGGCTTTCGCTCACGCTCATTCATGTGTCTGTAGGTGAGCCAAGGAAGGTCCAAACCCAGCCTCAGTGAAGTTTGTGAGAAACAGTCTAGGTTTTGAAGAGTCAGCCCAACCGTCTCACGCACGAGACTTGTTTTCGCCCTTTTGTTAATTCGTTATATTTTTTCATGTTGGCGAGAACTTTGTATCACAGTTGTATATAGTTTTGATTGGCTGGCCATGACTTGAATGATCCTGTTGTGTATAGCTTATATATTAACTTTCCTTGATGTGAGTTATTAATGTATGTTGTAAAATGTTATGACGTGCCATGTAAGCACATATCTATGGACAAAAGTTTGAAATTGCTTCCGTTTGGCCCCTTAACTCTGTTAAAATACGTGTTGTTTGGTTTAAGGCCGTAGGTAATCTCTCGATTACTGGCCGGTTATGTCCTTAACCCGTAGGGGCGGGTTCGGGTCATGACACATTACCACATTTAGAATGCTTACTATATATTTATTTATTTTCATGTGCTCTTGATACTTGATTTGTTGTATTCATATTGAGATCAAACTTCTCTATTTTTTTTTTCTTATTTTCTCTATTAAATTTTTGTTTTTGTAGTAGATGGGGAGACTGCTATTTGACCTCCTAATTTTGATCCAAGAGACTTGGTAACTTCACAAATATTATAATTGAAACCCTAAATCTTAGGGTTCGTTTGGTGAGATTTTTTTATTATTATTATTTTGCTTTAGCTTTAAATTTTTTGAAAATTAAAATAAAAAACATGGTTGCTTTGTTTTCACTTTTAAAAAAATTGGCTACAATTCTCAGAATTTGAGGAAATAAGAAAAATATGTTTTTACTTATTTTTAAAATAAGTTTCAATCCTTCCTACCTCTCTTCCTCTTCCATCCTCTGGCCACCGTCTCTGCTCCAACGACCACCTCTAATCACTCCCCCTCTTTTTGGTAACTTACTATACTTGTTTTCATTTTAGAAAATGATTTAGAATTCTATTTTATAAACTCATTTTCTAGACTCAGTGATATGTAATGTAAAATAGATGATTAGTTAATAATTAGATAAAATATTTGAGAGAGTTGACTTAAATATTCTAAGGTAAATTACAAATACAACTTCTAAGATTTACTTAAAATATAAATTGCCTCCTGTAATTTTGAAAATTACAAATATCTCATTGTCAAAAAAATTTATTTAAGAAAATAAATTTTTTAATTATTCTTCTATATAACAATAAAATTATCTAAATTGTTAATTAAAATATATTTTTGACATAATTAAAAATAGTTAATTGACTTGATAATTTATTAATAAAAGATGTTATTTGTTATGTAATTAGAAACCTAAAAGGGCAAGATGTAATTTTTAGAATCACATAAGGTAATCTGTATTTTAATCAAATCTCAAGAAATGTATTTATAATTTATCCAATATTCTAATAGAGCACCTCTAACTTTTTGGCTAGAGTAGCACCACTCTTTGATTTTTTATGTTTTGAGAACATGTATACTAAATATGCTATTTATTTTAGTTTTTACAAAAAAATAAATAAATAAATAAACAGAACGAAGAATAAACATATTTTATGTTCTTTGTACACAAAAAAAAAAAAGAAAAAAAAAAGAGTAACCACAAGTTACTAAACACTACTTTTAATCATTTTAATTTAAATTGGCAAAAGTTTTTCAAATCTCAAAATGAATATTTCTTAGGATTATCACTTTTTGAATTTTTTAGGGCTGCAAAAAAGCATTTGGATACTACTTTTCAAACTTTATAAACCTCAACGAATGAGAATAATATATGAACTCAGTTAAATTTTTTGTTTCATGACCATATGATTCAAAGTTCAAATTCAATATTAGGCACTTCAACTCTACATAGATTAGATCTAACTTCACAATTTTTGTAAGATGCCTTCCAAAATTTATTGATCTTTGAATTAGTTGCCTTCCAAATCAAACCTTATTCCATCATCTAGATTTGTGAATTAGGATATTCCAAAGTAGAACTGTGCAGTAACAATGAAATTACTATTACTCCCTTTGTATTGTGGTAGCAAATTTACAAACAACATCAAACCTACATCAACTAAACTTTTGAAATCTTTCAAGTCTTTGCATCAGAAAAGTTGTATACAGAAAAATAAAAAATACAACCTAGTATTATACAAAACAATGGTATAAAAACTCTGAAACAGAATAAACAAATCAGAAGACTTTTAACAACCCTTAGGCCTAGAGTATTTTGGGGGAAGAGATGGGCACCTTTCATTCATATGTGGGTATGGGTCCATTGTATTGTATCCAGGTAATTCCATTCTATACTTCCCTCGAATTTGGCAGAAAGGGAGCTTCACAGTGTCTGCATCATTGCAACACTTTGGCAGGCGGCTTGAATTGTTTTCAAAGAACTTGAGTGTGTAAGCATCTTTTATCTGCAGTTTGGACAAGATAAATTAATAAAGAAATAATATGTGAAATTCCTAACCTGGGTTTTACATCCACACAACAATCAATTTCAGTTGAACATCCATATTTACCCACACAGTTCAAGTTTAGTTTCATGATAGTAAAATAAAGGGCAAATTACATAAATATCCCTAAAGTATACCATTAATTTCATTTTGGTCTGTAGTTTTTAATTTGTATCAATTACATTCCTAAACTGTACACATTGATTCAATGCAGTCCCCTATCCTAACTATCGTCTAAAAAAAAAATATGAAAAATGCTTATGTCAGCTTCACATAAGGCATTTGGAGAGCATTAGAATCAATTTCTCATTTTCCACCTAAATGAATCGCAAGACATGTGAAAAGAACATTATTTACAAAAATAAAACACATCTAAGACTTCCACTTCATTACTGAAAGTCAAATACATAGCGTGTTTGGCTCTTTGAATGATAGTATATGGTATAAATAGATGTGTCAAAATGCCCTTTATGGCCTTCAATGCTTGATGTGAGACTGGCATATGCAATTTTTAGTATGTTTTTTAGAAAAATATATTTTTTGTAGGATATTTTTTAATTTGTAGGATATTTTACTATCATTTAATTTGTAAGATATTTTTTGAAAAATATATCTATAGCGATCCCGGGTTTACCCTTGTTGTACAGTGATCCGGACATGTGTCCGTGGATGTTGGTAGTTGTTTATTATCTTGTTTGCATCCTTTTTACTTCTTATTGAGTTATAGGATGTGTTGGGCAGGTTTGTTTCAGGTTGGTTGTGTTTGGGAGCCTAGTGTTGCTGCCCAGATTTTTGGACCTTCGCTCGAGCGAGGACTTTGTCGCTCGAGCGAGAGTTGAGTTGTGTCTGGTGGGTCGAGCCAGAGTGGCTTCGCTCGAGCGAGCGATGGCGTCTGGTTCTGGACCTGAGAGTTGCGTTTCTTGGCTCGAGCGAGCTTTTCTTGGCTCGAGCGGTCTGGTTTGTTCCTCGCTCGAGCGAGAGGTCTGTCGCTCGAGCGTGCTTCTGGTTGCAGACCTGAGGGTTTGAGTTGTTGGCCCGAGCGAGCATTCCTTCGCTCGAGCGCACTTTTGAGTTTTTGGCTCGAGCGAGAACTTCTTGGCTCGAGCGAGAGTTTTCTGTGTCTGGTCGCTC